ATAACACATATGTAATATAATAAAATATATGTAAAATAATTATTATTAGATATATCTAAGAATTGTGCGTCTTAAGTGCATGTACAAAATATAGCTTGAATCAGTATTACTTACGATCCGGGCACGCCAAGTTTTTGTATTTTTAGCTTATTCTCGAAACAACGAACTCGCTACTTGACACGTGTCTGATAACACACTTGCTGCAAGAGCGCGCGATCGTATTACAGCGGTAGACTCGAGTCTCGGTGAGAGAGCAGCTGCGACCGCCGTGTGGGTGGCTATGAAAGCAAAAACAAAATTTGGCATAGGCCTAAAAAAGAAAAGCAAGTCAGCAAAAAGAAAGCGAATACTTCCAATTGTTAAACGCAATGGTATGTTACCGGTCCTACCACTGCTGGGTGCTCTCGGTGCGCTTGTTGGTGGAGCAGCGGGAGTTGCAAAAACGGTAAATGATACAAAAGCTGCGCAGCGGCAGCTAGAAGAAATGCAACGGCATAATCGTGCGATGGAAGGTCGAGGACTTTACCTAACTCCGTACGGACGCGGACTTTTAAAGAGAAAAAAAACTCGGAAAGACATTAAAATTACCTTCAGGTGTAACAACAAACTTACAGGTGGAACAGCTAGCTAAACGCATGCGCATACCTTTTTTTGGAGGTGTTTTTATGCGTACTACCTTACCAGACGTAGTACGTCGTAATGAGAGCGGTATCGTCAATTTAGATGATGCAGATGGATCGGGTACCTACTGGGTGGCGTATGCAAAGAGGGGAAAGCATGCCATATATTTCGACAGTTTTGGCAATCTTCAATTACCAGAAGAAGTGGTGTGTTATCTTAAACATACCGTAGAGAAATTAGAATACAACCGTACGTCTTTTCACGTTACAATCAAAGTAATTGTAGTCACCTATGTTTATGGTTTCTTCAAACGGTTGATAAGCAATATTCACTTAAATAGCGTGCTATCAGACTTGAGAATGCATTCGACAACATGTCATTGACGTTCACACTTACAGGCAAAAGTAGCACCCTTGCGGTTAGCTATTTTCTTGCCATTGATTTAAGTGATGACGATTATGAGCTTGGATTAACAGATTTTGAAACGTATCATACAATACCAAATGTGAATTTGTCCAACAACAAATTTTATTATGATACGGATAATAAGCAAATTACAATTCCTGAAGGATTGCACGAATTGCAGGATATTAACAACTATCTTCAACATGCAATGATGCAATGTAATGCAAGAAGCATAGATAAGGATAAGGGCGTTCCTCCAATAATACTACGTGCAAATACCAACACAATGAAAAGTGAAATAAACTGCACCTATCGAATAAATTTTACCAAATCTAACAACATTGGATTGTTGTTAGGTTTTTCACCGACTCGTATTTTAGAGCCGCAACATTGGTACGTATCAGACGTGCCGATTAATATTATCAACGTAAACATTATTCGCATAGAGTGCAACGTGACCGCTGGTGCGTACAACAACAACATGTGCATACGATACATGAGTTTTCGCTGAGCGTGCCACCGGGATATAAGATCTCGGAAACACCGGCGCAAATCATTTATCTTCTGATCATCGTGCAGAGCATTACGGATCTAACGATACGCATTGTGGATCAAAACGGACAATTGCTTGATTTTTGAGGAGAAGAAATAACTGTCAGGTTACACGTACGACGCCGACGATTGTAATACACGGCATGCTCGTGCTGAACGAGGCGGATCAAGTAACGCGAGATACGAGATTTCCATTACAAACATCTGCTACTACTACTACTACGTACAGTAATCAGAAGAAGCTAAGTCCGATAAACGTTAAATTTTTACAATCATTGGGATTTATTGTACGAAAAATTTGAAAATATGGTTGACATTTTAAACGTTGGAGGTGAACCGATCTTTGACGATCGCATCGTCAAGATTGAAACTCACACGTACAATCCATATGTGAACACAACATTTGAACACAGTGATGAAATACAAATACCTATAACAGCAGGATTTGTACATTTTACCTTGTCAAAGTTTTCTTTACATGGAAGGAAAAGTGACGTCAACGAAGGAAGATGAAGAAGAAGTATATTTGGGAAATAATTGCGCGGCTTTTATGTTCGATGAGATTTTGTATGAATTCAATTGTGTGGAGATTGATCGTAATAGAAACGTTGGAATAATCAGCACGATCAAAAACTACATATCGCTAACACATGATAAAAGCATGACTATGAAGAATGCTGGATGGGATACTGCACTACATATAGACATAGATAGTTACTTTAATTTCTGTGTACCACTCAGCATGTTATTAGGATTCTGCGAGGACTACAAGCGCACTGTTATTAATGCACGTCATGAACTAATTTTAATACGATTGCGCAACGACAAAAACTGCATAACAGCGGTTTTTCAGGTGGATCGTGAAGCATTGAATGGAAAAATTGAATTATTCAAAGTGCAATGGCGAATGCCACATGTAATGTTGAACGATGTCACAAAGCTTTCACTGCTACGAACGCTGGAAAACGGGCGGTACTTGACCATGAGTTTCCACTCGTGGGATCTCTATGAGTTTTCGTTATTACAGAGCACAACTAAACACTCGTGGGCCGTAAAAACGGCGACACAACTTGAGAAACCAAAATACGTCATATTTGCTTTGCAAACTGCTCGAAGAAACGATATGTTAACAGATATCTCACAATTCGATCATTGTCAGTTGACCAATGTAAAACTATATCTCAACTCTGAATTCTACCCCTATGATGACTTGCATTTAGATTTTGACAAGAAAAAATACGCCGTTTTGTACGACGCATTTCCGTAAAACTTGCTACGGTTGTGGTGTTGCCGTACCGTTTCTCACGGTCTACAACTTTTTGCAGTGTGTCCTTTAGTGGTTATCAATTGCTCACGTCAAAACGAGGCTGTCAAAAAAGTGCAACCGTCGATGTACAAATTGAATTCGACTGCAAAGAATATATATCAGCAAATACTACAGCCTATTGTCTCATTTTGCATGATCGTGTTATAGAATACAACCCGTTAACCAACGTAGTGCGCAAATCACATAAAGTGCAACATCAGCAGTTCTCCCCCTCCATAATCAGAACAATTGTTCAAAAGTCAAAGTACTGTACGATACATAGCATTTGTCTTTTGTTGATTCCACAAATTATATCAACATGGTTGTGCCACCATTTGTGGACCTGCAAGGATTTATCGCCGGAAGGAGATTTATTGTCAAGGAAGTGGCAGTATTGCAAAAAGGTACTGTTCTCTCGCATTACATTTTCAGAAGTCCCTTTCCGTGGAGTCTACTCGCAAGATCAGACAGGTCCGCAGCTACTTAGTTGATGATGCATCATCACGGCTTGCGTTGGGAGGATGGAAACGTTGCATATCGCAGAGCAAAGAATTTAATTACAACAGATAAAAAGTGTGGAAAGGCCAATCGGAGCGCAGACAGTTGTTTGTGTGGTAATAAGTTTATTATTGTAGTAGTACAAGTGTAGCATACGTTTTGACAGTGGAATTCGGTCCTTATCAATGTAAAAAACTAAAATTTGACAATTTAATAAAGAGGATAATATATGACATAAATTAGAACATATTTTGAGTGAAATACATACATGGTCAGATAGAAAATTTAAAATTAAAAACCCAGATCAAACATCTCACATGTCACGCAAACATATTTCTCACAGGCCAAAAACAGACAACAATTCAAATAACTGTCACTTTCGCCATGGTCGAGACGCGAATGAGCAATACTCAAGAAACATTATACCAGAGCACATACGAATTGTTACGTTCTGCGACTCCACGGTTCCCTTCTTTATGCAACGCAGTATGGTGAACACTCGGTAGAAACAAATTTTATCTTAAACAAAAACGCAGACTAAACAGAAAACTCCCGGATAGAGAACAGGAGATCGATCTGAGAAAACACGACAGTAAAAATTGAGTGAGCACAGAACGAAACCGCGCTCCCTAACGAAATAAAACGATAAATCCGGGAAAGAAAATTCAAGCTCCGCGGCCGAACAAATGCCGGACACATGCAATAACAATTCACATGTGCCAAGAACGACTAGGCAAAATTAATAAATCTCATTATCTCCGGAAGGGAAGTTTTCAACGGCTGGGACCGCTCGAGACCCACTAATAAACAATTCTGCCAGACAAAAGTGTCTCAATAGTTTAAACACCAGCTGCAAAGCGCAGGAGACACTGTTGCATAGATGGTGTCTACTTTAATAGACATTAACAATTAACTTTAATAGACATTTAACAAATTAGAAATCACCACTATTTTTGGTGGAAGCGGGGGAACCGATCAACCGCTCTGATTGGAAGCTCCGTGGCTACCAAAAAGCGCATATAAAGCGACACTCCCGCGAACAGAGGCAAAAAGAATCTGTAGTGCGCCGGGAAAAATAAAAAAAATCGCTACCAAGTTCCACCGCGGTTGCAACAAGTGTGTGCGGGTGCAAAGTGCAAGTCAACCGCCAACCTTGAAGATCATCCAGCCTAGACGGCCGGTTGCTGCAACCGAGGAACCACCCTTGAGCTCAATCAACAGCATAGGTCTCCCCACCGACCGAAACCGCTGATAAATAGTGAGTGGAGTAAGTTTATCGGTTCAACAATCCCTCCCCCCTTTAAAAAACAGAATAATAAAATAATAGAAAGAAACCTCACAGTCGAATTTAAATTCAGAGATCGACTGTTAGTTTGCTCTTAGAAAAACTGGGCATTTTTCTTATTAGAATTATTTATTTAAGTGAACAATAAAGGAATTTCCCGCGCTGCGATAAGAGCTCGCCGCATTCAGCGTAACCGGACCCTGCGACGAGCCGCCCTCGCGCTACACCGAGCGGATCCGAACAGGCCTCTACGACCCGGCCCCTCTCCGACCCGCGCTACGGTTAGGGAATCAGCGACCCAAACCGAGACTACGACACACACACAAACAAATTTGAATCATTACCCTACCACACATACACACAGGCAGAAAACTCAGACCACGAAAGCGACCCCGATTCGTGGTACGAGCCTCCTTCGTACTCTCCTGTACCCCTCGAAGATGATCCCCGTGTCCTCTTTGAAAACCCTCCCCCTCTCCGAAACTCGACTCCTACCCCTCCTTTCGATTCCGACTCGGAAGTAGAAGCAATCTTTGAACGCCTCACTCCTTCCCCTTCTTCCTCTCGGTCAGACATCCCTACACCTCCCCCTGTCAACCTTCCAATTAATTTCTTGCCACACCTTTTTCGCTATCCACGGTCATACTCACCAATATCCCCCGGCAAATTAACCATAGACCTTAATCGCATAACACCCGTAGAACTTGACAGAATGATACCCAATTTCCCCTTTTCTGAAATAATTTTTGTTATCCTGCCATACTCCTATGCTCATTTTTATGTTCCCGGAGCTCTCTTCCACCTATACTATCTTCTTACCCGTTAATCTTTAATTTTTCCTAAAGTAAATTCAACCCACGGATCGGCTACCCACACATACACAACCATGACAGCATTACTCATGTAAATTCCACCGAGGGCCCTAAATACTCACGTACACATCCACGCACACACAAACGTCCCTGCCGGCCTCCGAGTGATGACCCGCCGCTATTGTAAAACTCGCGTTACATTTGACACCTCAGTACCTCTTGTAAAAAAAAAAAACTAGATCGACAAACATTGTAATTATAAATAANAAATAAAACAAATATTTTAGCACAAAAAAAGGAATAAATTGTGTAGTAACTACTTCAATAATTAAGGCTTGACCTCGTACATTTTCTTTTCCCTGCGATCGCACGGTCTCGTCCCTAGTTCTTGGAGCGACCGCTTCAGACTTTAAAAAGAGACCACCGAGCGAGAATACACAGGACGGAGTAATATCGGCACACGCCGTTGACCCGTCCGTGAGTATAAACAACTCGCTCGACTCGTACACAGATAGATTTCTGCATCTTCTGTGTCGAGGATCTAAACCAAAACGTCCAGCTGTTGCGTACTACTATAGCCCGACCGTATCCATGGGCCAGAACGTAACAGAATCAATCGTCCAAATTACCGATAAGTGGTAAATAGCAGTTATTTAACAAGTCCGTGTTGCTTTGCATATTCAGACTGTTTTTTTGTCTTTTTATGTGAAGCATTTCTGAAACAAGACGCTTGTAATATGATGGCTCTGTGTCTAAAATCTCAATTTCATTCCAATTAAACTCATGGGAAAGTAATATTCTATGTTCTATAATGACCGACTTTTTTGTAGTATTTCTTTTTATGTGGTTTTTGTGTTCCCGTATTCTTGTTTGTAACATTCTACGTGGTCTGGCCTACGTAAGATGCATCTCACTCTTTACAATTGATCTTATAAATAACATTAGATCTGGACGTTGGTGTTAAGAGATCTTTCTGTACTTTGATAAATTTGTTCAAATTGTTGAGGCCCGCAAACGCCACTTTAAATTTGTCTTTGTTGGTTGGAAGACAAGCAACAATCCTTTCAGAAACTTTTTTCACGTACGGAACGGTAAGCCACATGTAATTTTTATGGTTTTTTTAATACAAACTTTTTAATGTCATTATTTCTAAAAAAAATTGTGCCTGAGGTTGTTTTTGATGTTGTCAAATATGAAATCAATAGGATAATTATTGTTGATCAAAATGTTAATAATATATTTGAAATTTCTTTCATGAAATTGTGGGTGTGAAAGAAAGAATGCTTTATCCACCAATTTTAATACAATGCACTTTTTTTATTTAGAGGGTGACATAAATGAAAATTAATGTAACGTTCTGATGACATTGGTTTGTGAAACCAATTATATATTAAAAAATTATTTGATTTAATTAACGTCAAATCTAAGAAATTCAGTTTGTTGTTATTGCCAATTTCTAACGTGAACTGTAATCTCGGATGAATCCACATATCTTACATATAAGGGTGTTTTAAAATTTAGTTTGCTTAATGCTAAAACTTCAAGGTCCTGCAACACAACACTTGCCAGAATGGGAAATAACGGGGAGCCCATAGGTGCTCCAAAAATTTGCGAATATATTTTATTATTGAAAGTAAAAAATGTAGAATGAAAAACGAATTGAAGTGCTAAAATAAATTCGTCCAACAAAATGCTTGTATTTTTTTGAATCATTGGCCATCTTTTTTCAACACCTCTAAGCGCCATATCCCATAGAATGTTGGTATATAACGAAACAACATCCAAGGAGATTAGCTCAAAAGAGGAGTTAAACGTGATGTCAGGAAGCATTTTGGCCAAATGATAGCTATTATAAACATGACTCGGCGGGGGTAATAAACTTTTTTGTATAATGTTATGAATGTACGAAGCAAACTTGTGTAAAGGAGTGTCAATATAGGAAATAATAATTCTCAAAGGGTTATCCTTCTTGTGTAACTTTGGAACACTATACGCTCTCGGTAAATTAGCTATTGTTGAATTTAAAGATTTATGACAATTGTCAGAAATATAACCTCGCGACCTCCATCTGCCGATAAATTCTTTTAAATCAAAATCAAATAAAATTCTGTTAACCGGGTTCTTGTCAGTGCTCAAGTATGTGTTCTCATCCGATAATATAACTTCCATTTTCCGAATGTATTCCTGTCTATTCATGGCTACAATCGAATCCCCCTTATCTGCTTTTGTAATAAGTATGTGAGGATGATTTTTAATAAAACTAGCAGCACCATTCGAGAAGCATGTATTAATTCCATTTCTATTTTAGTTTTATGTTGCATGATACCTTTTGATTTATTAAGAACAGAAACACATTTGTTGCAGCA